TGTGTGATTATATTACTGGATGCTCGAAATTGAACAGGAGAATGCACATTTTAAACAGCTTATTGTACAGCTAAGTTAATCGCCATTCTAATCTAATGCGCTGCTGCACTGCAATGCACACACATAGGCTACAGACAGTAGCTCCTACATCACACACACATCGCACGCGCACAGAATCATTCAGCTCGGAAATGTATTGTCAACACTGTTCTGTGATTTCGCAATTAAAATAGCTTAGAAACTGAAAAGTTCAAGCATATATTTCTTAATAACTAAATTCCACAGCTTCACTACTAGTAGAAAGACACTGCCAGGTAGAATTATTGCACACACGTAATCGCTCTCACTAATAATGCATTCATATGAATGTAATCTTTACTGTGCTACTTTATCTGTATCTGATTTAGAACGAGCAGAAATCTGTGAGAAATAAAACGACCCAAAGACAAAAGAACTGATAAAAATGAGCTGCACATTTACCATCTTAAAATTCTAAAAGTTTTCACCCCCAGGCTCTTAATGCATCGTGTTTCCTTCTGGAGCATCAGTGAGTGTGCTACTCTGTACTAGCATTTATTATTAGTAAAGCTGGATACTAGCCTATCTAGCAGCTGGACAAAAATACTAACTGTTGAATAGTTACCAATAAACTTCTAGCAATTAAAATATTCACTGGTCTTAAGTGAATAGTTGATATCTAAACCATATTGCAACTTTTTATCTCACAATTCTGACTCTTTTTTTGCATTTGTGAGTCTATATATCAAAATTTCGAGAAAAAAGTCTGAATTGTGAGATATAAACACACAATTATAATATTGCGAAACAAGTTAGAACTGTGAGAGAAAAGTCGCAATTAACTTTTTTAAAGCTTCCATAGTATATACATAGACACGAGTTTATAGTTTATAGGAATATATCAATAGGCCTACATGTTAAAACGGCTTGCCATAATCGGGATGGTTCCGATGACCCAGAGTTTGCCTTTAGGACCCGGAGGCACCGCTGCTCCAGATGACACTCGCGCGTTTGGAGTGAAAGTCTCTTACAAGCACAAGTTAAACACAACACTTGTGAAAAAACGAGGTGCACACAGCTGGCCCTGACTGCAGTATATATTGTACGCCTGGAATGACAGTGGCAGTGAACGGATCGCAGCGAAAACGCACGACTCGCGCGCAGCTCTGTTAGGAATATTAATATGATTTTACATTGCAGGCGCAAGTAAGTTTTTTAGGTGTTTCCTGCAACTTCATGCTGGACAAAATATAAAGGGATCGTCAGTGTAGTGCCTTCTAAACGTCGTACGTTTTTCTTTTTCCATCCTCCAAGGATTTAGTTTGGTGTGAAATATGTACTGAGTGATCAATTCAATCACCCTTCAAGAGGAGAAAGTTGCGACCTGTTGCTCTTTTTAAAAATCACATGTTGCTTCTTAAACATCCTACGGATATTTATAACTCTATATCAAGACATTCTGGATACGCGCTGAGCGCGCAAAAGGACTTATGACATGGTATGATTTTAAAAATCTCTCCAAAAACATAACTTAAACCAGCTTAAGATAATGGCCAAACTGGTCTTCAGATGGTCTTAGCTGGTTTAAGATGTACTTAGCTGGTCTCCAGCTTGGCAAAGCTGGTCTTCAGCTGTTCTTTGGTGGTCTCTTAGATGATTTAAGATGGTCTGAAGCTGATTTTTAGCTCGTTTAGCTGGTTGACAAGGTGTCCAAAACCACTTTAAAATGAACCAACAGTTAAGTCTGACCAAGTCGGGAGACTAAGACCAGCAACCCCGTAGACTGATTTCTGCAGCAGCGATGTGTTCCACTTGACATCTCAAACAACATGTATGATTGTGAAAGTTTAAAAAAATGCTTTACGCAGTTTTCAAACTGTCTTTTCTCCTCAGCGGTTATGGTGCCATGGTGGCAGAAGTTAAAATGACGTCTTTTGGCGAGCAGTTGGTGCGCTCAGAATGGCCCGGGAGGATTCAGTGAAGTGTCTGCGTTGTCTGCTCTACGCGCTCAACTTTCTCTTCTGGGTAAGACGAGTCCAAGTCGGAGCAGGTGGCCCGGCGAGCGCTCACGTTACATGGAACTGTGCTGCTGTGCGCTCTGCGCTCTCCAAGACGCGCAACAGCCACTCACTCTCCGACACACGCGCAATCTGTGTTCCCTCCCTCCCCATCCTATGTTATCATTATGTAGAGGACAGCCTGAATCCCAGCTATGTTCGAATGGCGCACAGCTCACATTCTGCTGGGTGCTATTTTTAGGGAATTAAATGTGATAAGCACCAGGGTCTGTTTTTAGACCAAGAATGCCTGTGTAGGGCAAACTAAACCCATGCCACTAATATTGCAGCATGTCAAACATAGCACAGTACCTAAATAGGTTTCCAAGCCAACCATGTACACAAACACAGATCCATGTTATGCTTACTTGTTTTTTTAATATACATTCAGAAAAAAAAAATGTACAAAGCTGTCAGGGGCAGGTACAAAAAGTACATCTTTGTAACTTACTCTTTAATGCTACAAATTAGAACCTTAAAGGTAAATATTAGTCTTGTATTATTTGTACCTTTTTTCTGTCCCTAAAATCTCCAAAGACTTTAAGCCACAACTAAAATGCATGAATTTTATTGCATTACATTATCAAACAATTTTGGATTTACCAGCTGGTCCAAATGTGATTTTTTTTTTAGTGGCTGCATGAAATAAAGGTGTAGTTCATGATGTTTCAACTCTAATTTTAAATAGTAAATAATAAATAAAATATAAATTAAATTAAAGTCTTTATGTATAAATGAATACTTTACAATAAGGTTACATTTGTTGTTAACATTAGTGAACTACATTAGTTGTTAACGATGAAACACACTTTTAATGATATAATTTCAGCATTTACTGATAAATTATAAAAATCAAAAGTTGCATCTGACATATATATGTGTATATATATATTAATATATGTGTGCAAATGACGATTTAACAGTCATTTATAAAAGTATTTATAGCATTCATATATATGAAGTATTAAGTAAAACTCAAAAAGTATTAAAATAAATACTGTAACAAATGTATTGCTCATTGTTAATGCATTAATGTTAAAGTGTTAATAACATATATAATAAATACATTTAAATTAAAACTTGAAACAAATATTAAAAGAAAAATCACACTTTTTGGGGGGAAATATTTTCGGAAAATGTTTTCTTGTACTATGAAATGTGTGCTTGTAGTATCTTTGTCAAAAATAAGTATATCCATGTTTAATTGTAGCTTAAGTACCATGTTTTCTTCTGTTTTTCCAAGCTTATGGCCCTGTGTGCGCTGGGAGTGTCCGCCTGCCTCAGGGATCACCTGAACAATGTGCTCACCTTAACCGCCGACACCAGGTGAGTGGTAGCGGACGGACAGGTGTGAGCCGTAAAATCCTTTCATTCAGGGCAGCGGTCCATGTAAAGGTCTAATTTACTGTTTTCCCACTTTTCAGCCAGTCTGGATCAAATTGCCTCGAGCTTATGAAGTAATTACAAGCTTGAATGAGGTGTGCCGTTCTGTAGAAGAAATCAGATAAATGCATTAAGTCGTCAGTTGAGACAGGGCCTGGGTTGAGATCCATTCTTTTGTGTATGTTTTGCAATTGTGTAGAGTTTTCTTTCCAAATCCTCTCAAGCATTAAAGGAAAACTCAGCAAAACTGACGGAAAACTCCCAAAAGTATCAATATTATCCTGGAGGCGAGTGATATCTAATTAGTGTTGACAAAAAGCAATTCATCACCAAGGAGTGTATTATAATTCAGAGTCGTTATTGTGGCCTCTGTGGCTCACATGAATGGGAATCAACAGAGAAAATTGTTAAAACCTGATTGTACACAGGTTACATTGCAGTAACGTGCTGTATCAGCCCTCCTCATCTCTGCAGAATGAAAAATTATAGGATATCAACTAGAGTAGAATATTTCAGATTTATACTGATGTGTGTGATCCTCAATTAGATATTTAACTTAAAGAAATATTCAGTATAATTTAAGCTTGACAGCAATTCTAACATTTTTATTATATGCAATAAAATATATAATTTTAATATTAAAACATATTATTTATATATTAATATTTATATATTATTAACATGTTGTACATGCATTTTTCATACATAAATTATATATTATAAAAATTCCATTAAATAAGAAAAATGCATGCAAAAAATATTTTAAAATGTTTCAAAATAATTTTTATTTAAAAAGTATTAAGATAAAAAACATTTTGATTAATTCAATAAAAATAAAATCTTTAATAAAATGTTTTTATTAATGCTAGTTTTCATGACAAATTAAGAAAAATACAAAATATGTCATCTCTGCAGAATGAAACATAATATGAACTAGTATAAGTTACGCTCAACAGACAGCAATTATTTATGGAAACTAATAATGATTTAAAAATTAAAAAATAGGTGTTGTGGTGACACACTTACAATGGAAGTGAATGGGGCCCATTTTTGGAGGTTTTAAAACAAGAGATATGCAGCTTCTAATTATCTAAATAACACTTATATTGTTCTGTTAACTTAAAGTAAACCTGTTTATATAATTTTACAGTCACTTTAGGGTTCATGGTGTTGTGTTGTCATGGCAAGTGGATATAAGTTTACACAGAAACTTTTTTCTTCTCCTCAGTAAAATCATGTTTACATGCATATTATTCACATTTTGTGGCTATACTATTGAAACCGTGAGTAGTTTAATGTTTACAGGCCTCAGTTCCACTGTAAGTGTCTCACTGTAAACATTACAATTGTGGTATGAAATATTATGTCACAAAAGCTGTCGATTCAGCATAATGTGTACTGAACCCAAAATATTCCTTTAAACTGTAGTTTACCCATGTCCTCCCATAGTGAAAACAGTGTTGCATCTTAGAGAACAGAAGCAAAAGAAAGCCAAACAGAAGTAGAGACAGTAAGAAACAGGAAGAGAGAGAGCTTGCATTCCTACAGAGTATAATCACAGTTTATTTGCAACTGGTGTATTACTCAAATATGCTGCCCCGAGAGGAGGAAGAGACAAGTGAGCAGGATGGACGGATAAATAAACAAAAGGCCTGCCAAGAAATGACTCGTCCCCTCTCTCTCTCTTTCCCTCAGACTGGAGGAGGCAGCCGTTCTCACATACTCCCCTGTCGTCCATCCTGTCGTCATCGCCGTGTGCTGTTTTCTAATCATCGTGGCTATGGTGGGCTACTGTGGCACGCTCAAGTGCAATCTGCTCCTACTGTCTTGGGTAAGTAGAACTGGGAAGAGAGGGGGGAAAAAACAAAAGACAAGAACAGCAGGAACATTGTGTGATTTGGAATGTGTGTGGTTTTGTGTACCGAGAATATTTTAAGTTTAGCTGGTAGTGACGTTGTTGACCCCAACCACCCTCGAACCAGATTCCAGTCATTCTTTCTTTATTCACGCATCCCCTCTGAGACCCTTGTGTCTTCACGTCATACACTAGAGGGGAGTAGAGAGAGATATCACATCCTTAAAGTCTTCCTGGACCAATTTTACTTGTGCAATGTCATGTAATTCCAAGTGAAAGAGGGTATTTGATTAGATGAAATTGTGGGATTGGACTTCATTTTTTTTTATTGGTAATTGATGGGCTGTTACATACGAGAATGGAATCAGGTGATTAAAACATAAGCGGCCTTGATAATGTCAACCCAAAGGAAAAGTCGTTTTAGAGTCTGAGTAAGTTTTAACTTTATGAAAGACTATTTTGGACTATGAAAAGGGATATTTAACAAGCTGCTCAATGCTAATACATTTATTAATTTTATTTTTTAACATGTTTATAGTTGTTTTTCAAATTTTATTAATACACTTTTATTAATATTTATTTATAGATTAGTAACATGGATTATACATGTACTTGCTTATATATATATATATATATATATATATATATATATAAATAATAATAATAATAATTAATTATTATTAATATTTAATATTTATTTTTTAATTAATACAATATAAACGGTTTTTGATCATTTCTTTTTAAACAAATGTTTTTGCTTTTATGGAATGACATGCAATAATCGTGCACAACAAGCTGAGCAACATGCATTGATGGGTCAGTATGTTGACACCATAACATTAAAATTGATGTCATGACACACTATATGTGACCATAATCTTTTATGCTGATGTAACAAAAGACCTGCAGGCAGAAAAAGTCATGTTAACCAATGATATCAGAGCATAACATCCATGATCTAATCATGTTTACAGTAAGTCCCGCCCTATGTTATTTCCCACCAAATATTGTATTAGTTTAATGTAGTTTTGACTCTATTTTGCAGACATCTGTGTTTAAAGCTAGTGTCACATATATATGGCCACATGGTCTCATCTCATAACTGCACTGGTATACTAAAAGGCCATATTATTATTCTTATATATGTTGTCATGGTGCACCTTGCGTCTAGAGACAAAGAGTTAGACAGCAGTAGTATATGAGCACTGCACATCACTCAACATGATGGATTGTCTAGGAGGGCCAAATAGAGGGCACATAGTTATATCCATTGTGAGAGATTTTTGTGTGTTTAGATGGATATGTTAGTGACATTATGACTTCTGAAATTACAAGATCTTGACAGGCTGTTAGTACAGATTATATAAATTACTTGGGGAGGAAGGAAAATCCACCCTCTATCTGACCCTTAGAAATAAACAGGCAGTTTTTTTCCTACTTTAAAATGACAGTCCACCCCAAAAATATGTCATCATTTACTCACTCGTATGTTGTTACAAACCCATTTGACGTGGAACAGAAAAGGAAGATATTTAACAAAGTGTCCAGGCTGCTCTTTTCCCTGTAATGAAAGTCACATTTATAATAATTTAAATAATAAAAAATGTTCATACAAATATAAATGTAATATTAATACATTATTAATAATAAATTAAATAATACATTATTTATTTAATTATTTATTACAAAAGATGTGTGTGTATATATATATATATATATATATATATATATATATATATATATATATATGTATGTATGTATGTGTGTTTGTGTAAAATATTGCATTTTATAAAAACACTGCATGAAAATGATTTAACAATATTTTAAATTAAAAAAATATTTTTAACTTGTATTTATAAAATAAAAAAACATTTGATTGTTAATAAAAAATCTTTTTAATAAAAATCTTTTTTAATAACATATTATGTAACGAAAATAGCTGTAATTAAGAAAAATACACAAAAAAAGAAGCATTTTCCACCCCCACTGTAATTTTTAACCTAAAATATTGATGGTAAATAAGAAAAGTTCATGTCCATATTACTTGTCATCTACCATTTCCCAGCTTCTGTAAACATGCTGGACTGTTTTATTTCAAAAGAGCAAGGATAATCCTGTTTTCTATGCAGTCACCCTTTTAAATGCTGTGTCAGTGTGCAACATTTAGAAGTCAAGCAAATCTGTTTTATGATGATGAACTGAAGAAATCCCAGCATGGAGGGGGAGGAGAGAGCAGCCAGGGTGCTGTTTTGTGGCTTGCTGTCCCAGGTGCGCGACGGGTGGGAGGGTGGGTTTCCCATCTGCCGACCCAGACTGAGGGCCTGTTTTGTGGGACTCCTTGACCCATCTCTCTCCCTCCTCCTCCTCCTCCTCTCTCTGGGTCTCCATTCATCTCCTCAGGAGCCTTTCTCCTCTCCTCTCTGCCCCAGCGGGCTTGTGTTACCCAGAGGCTCGGCGACAAACAATATTATCTGGCTGAGATACAATAGGTAAACCAATCCAGGAGGAGAGCGGGAAGACATGAAGAGAGAGGCGCTTGGGTTACGTGGTCTCTCTATTCACCAGCCGCGCTCTCACCGAGTGCTGCGACCTGGCCAAACACACACACACACACACATTAACCTAAACACTCTCACACACTCTTTATCCTGTCACGACTTAATAATTGGCTCTAAATGCATCTCACTCTTGTTCTGTTTGCATGACTAAGTGATAAAGGGGGTGTAAATTGTTCCGGTGAAAAGGAAATCCATCCATTTCGATGTGTCCTGTTTTCTGTAACATTACTAGCCAAAAAAATGTGTGAGTGTGAAAGAGGAAGAGTAAAACTCTCAATAAATCAATAAACCGAGAGGTCACAGAGAGAATGTAACCTCTCTTACCCCGAGAAAAATATGTGCGTGCTTGTAGATGAGCCAGCTTGTTGGGAACTTCCAGAGGTTACAAGTTCACATTGGACATATTTGAACAGCAGATATTAGGAAGAAAGAGTGTAAAGAGAAAAGGTTGTCATTTTTTGTGTCAGGCGTCTGACAGACCAAATGGACTGAAATGCTAATACAGCAGTAGAACAGCCACAAATATTTAGAGTCTCCCAAATAAACAAGCTGTCAGACAGGGGTCTGCTCTGAATGCGGCTCCTAACACTGCCATTCATCTTGATAATCTCTCTCAAAGCGTGTTCAACAGAGGGGAACTATGTACATGTTAAAGTGATTCTGAGAAAGACAGAGCGTGTTTGTCTTCAGGAAGGGAGGAGATGAGATGAATGTGTTAGTTCACAGGGCCCTAAAGACAAAATCTGTGCATCTGTGAATGCAAAAAAAAAAAAAATACATTTTTGGAATTTTCATTCTCTTTTGTTCCATTCATTCTGTGCATCCATACTGAATACTATATTTTTTAAATAGTATGGGGAAAATTAAGCAAAAAATAAACCATTCATATATATATATATATATATATATATATATATATATATATATATATATAGAGGTATATAAAATAAATAGGATCAGTTTCATCTTGACTTGAAAAATTATGTAATTGTGATAATTTAATACATGGAAGGTCACGTTAGTGGATTGTATAATGAGATGAGTATGTTCTGTTATATTTGCATATTTTGCACAGTATATCTACTGCATACTGCAAAATATTGTATGCCTAGTATGCTATTCTGAACACAACCTGTCACAATTACACAAAACTCCCGAGAGACAAACTGAGAGAAACCAGACCTCAGATCCCAGCATACATGAACGTGCGCACACACACACACACACACACAGCTTTCCATGTCTGATCATCAACACCTTTCCTTCTGCCCTATTGTTCAGAAGATATTTTTAACCAAACTGTTTTTATCTGTGTGTGTTTACAGTATTTTGGCAGTCTGATGGTGATATTCTGTGTGGAGCTGGCCAGTGGAGTGTGGACGTACGACGAGGTGCGTACTGCTATGAATAAACAGGAATGCCTACACTCTTCTCTCTCTTACGTTAACAACATGGCCACCACACAGCCATTCCCAGGAGCAACGGAATGAGGATACGATTTCTAAACCGCCTACTTACGATCTAATCTTAACTATTATGACTTCAAAAGCCCGGCTCTAGCACATTTCCTTTTTGGGGAGTTAATAAGCAGAGCGTTTATGTTTAATTATGTGCGGATGGAGGGTGGAGTCACCTATGTTAATGCTCTAATTGGCTCTTGAAGCAAGATTAGCATCTGGCTTGCTTTACAGAAACCTGTCCCTGATCTGTGCAGACTAAAAGATTTGATCAGCAAAGGGGAAAAGGGATTGCAGGTAGCATCTGCTTCTGTTAGCCCAGGGATACGAGAGATAATGCGCACCTCCAGGGGAAGATATCACACACACCTAGCTTTAATCTAGCTTCTCTCACTCATACACATACACAGCTTCTGCTTTCTGCTACATGCTCTTATCACCAACCTAAAAACCTTTGTTGGGTGTGATGGTCCTATTGTGCTGTTGTGGCCTAATGTGACCCCTGTGTGTGGGTGAGCGGGTGGGCAATGAGCTTGTTTACTCCGCTGCACCTGGTCTGATTACATGTTAGCTGTTGTATCAACAGTGCATCCACTCCAACTTTCCTTGGCTTAAAGTCGACATGAAATGGCATTCTCTCATCTTATTTCCGAAATGTGACGTTTTTAGGAGTGAAACTGAATTTAATTGAGGAAAAAATTAAGGACAAGACTTAATTATTAATCAGAATTTAATTCGACTGTGAAAAGTGGCCATCCCAAGGGCAAATGTCTAAAAATCTACATCTACATCTTGCAGAGCATAGCTCAGGGGTTTTCAAACAATAAAAAATATTGTAAAAAAATAAAAGTGTCAAATTAAATAAGTAAATAATAAAACTAATACAAAGATTTTATGGTTAAATACTAATAATTTATATAAAAAAATAAAAATAACTCTAAATCTAACAGCATTTTAAGAAAAAAAGTCAACTTAATAGAAAGTAAAAATTTTACAGAGAATCTCAAATATATATATATATATACACACATATACATTTCTAATATTTTATCAATTTAAATGTATACTATTTTTTATTTCTTTACAGTATAGGTCTTTATATATGAAAATAGGAATTCACCATATTTGAGAGTCTATGAAAAACGGGCCTACATTACATCAGCCAAAAAGGAAAGTAATTTCCGAGGTTTAGCAAGTTATTATATTCTAATGAAAGATTACAAATACATTAAAAAAAAAAACTTTTTTTTAAATTTATTTTTGAATAACATGCAGTCATGAATTACTAATTACTATATATTAGTTGATTGTAATTATATGTTGACTTTAAACTGATGAGCTTTAGCAAGTTTTGCTGGCAAAAACAGAGATGACACATCTAGCCCTGGGCATCGAGGGTACATATCATATGCCCATCACGGTAGTTTCCGAGGTGTGAAAACAGAAGTGTCTCATGTGGACTGGATTGTAAAATGCCAACAAGTATATAAACAACACTTGCACACACTTGTGAATAGGGCATTTCATAACTAGCCAATAAATTGGTCATAAGAGAGCCTAAAATTGCAAGCGTGGGCGTGTGGATGGTCCTTTAAACTGCCTGGAAATCACATTGTTTTTGTTATTTAGAAAACGTAATTGCTGAAAGTGTAGGAAATTGATTTTATGTCATTACGAAATCACAAGGGACCGATTCAGGGCTTTTAAAATTGTGAAATTATTTCTTCATGAATATTTCTCCATAACTCCTCCTCTCTTTCTCTCTTCAGCCTATGGTACAGAGGTCTGATATGATAAGTCTAAAGTCTCGTATGCCTCATTTCGGTCTGCAGCGCTACCAGTGGCTCACACATGCCTGGAACTCTTTACAAACAGAGGTGAGATGTCAAAATCATCACCAGGATAACAGCTCATCTAACACCTAACCAGCCGCTATGAGACAAGTTGATGGTGTTAAGTAATTCTACTGTTGTCACTGAAAGCGAAAATGCTAAGCCAAGCCATTCTGTCAATGTGAAACATTTGATCTTGAAATCTTGAAAGACCAATCTTTTTCTTCGCTGCAGAACAAAAAGAGATTCTCTAGCTTTCTTCCCAGTTTAGTTGTCTAATAAACCTGCCTTTATATATTATGAGTATCATTGTTTCTTTGACAAATTTCTTTTGTTCCTCTCTTTACACAGGCCAATCGCAATTCAGTATGCAAATATTACGAAAACCTCATCACTGTCAATTACTAATTTTCATACCTGCCTTACAGTTAAAGTGTTGTGGAGTGATCTACTTCACTGACTGGCTGGAAATGACAGAGATGGAGTGGCCACCTGACTCCTGCTGCTCCAATCAGTATCCAGGATGTGCCCGCCACGCCCACTACCATGACCTCAGTGACCTTTACCAGGAGGTTAGCTTATTTTGATGTTGTAACCCCCAAAAAGTTTACATTATTATTCTAGGCCGGATGAAGATGATTTTGCTGTTTTATATTTTGATTTTGGCTATTTCAATAATTAAAGGGTTTGTTCACCCAAAAATGAAAATTGGCTTGTGTTTTATTCACCCTCGAAGCATCCTAGGTGTGTATGACTTTCTTCTTTCAGACGAATCCAGGCGGAGTTATATTAAAAATTGTCCTGGCTATTCCAAGCTCTATCATTGCAGTCAGCGGGTGTTGCAGTTGAACAGTCCACAATTCGTCAAATAAAGCGCGCGCAATCATAATAATACTTGCCTCACACGGCTCCGGGGGGTGAATAAAGGCCTTCTGTAGTGAATACATGCATTACCTGCATTAAGAAAGTAAATACGGTCAGTTTTGATTCCATGCTGGCACAACTTCATACACTAAATTTGTTTTAACAGGGTTGTGGTCCCAAGATCTACAGTTTTATCCGTGGCACCAAACAGCTGCAGGTGCTGAGGTTCTTGGGCGTGTCGATTGGTGTGGCTCAGATCTTAGCCATGACGTTGACTGTGACACTCCTATGGGCTCTCTATTATGACCACAAACCACCTGAACCAGCATCCCCGGATGCTTTAATCCACACGCACAGTTCCGCAGAAGATGGCCTGAAGCCCAGCCACTCACATCCACGAGTGCCTGAGGCCTGGGCCAATGTGCCCGCTTCAAATGTAATAAACACTTTTCTCTCACTTCCGTTATCTTTCATATGCAGAGGGCGTTCCATAAGAGGCACCATATTTTCCAACCATTAGTTTGAATAATCCAACCTAGAAACCTGCATTAAGAAAGTAAATACGGTCAGTTTTGATTCCATGCTGGCACAACTTCATACACTAAATTTGTTTTAACAGGGTTGTGGTCCCAAGATCTACAGTTTTATCCGTGGCACCAAACAGCTGCAGGTGCTGAGGTTCTTGGGCGTGTCGATTGGTGTGGCTCAGATCTTAGCCATGACGTTGACTGTGACACTCCTATGGGCTCTCTATTATGACCACAAACCACCTGAACCAGCATCCCCGGATGCTTTAATCCACACGCACAGTTCCGCAGAAGATGGCCTGAAGCCCAGCCACTCACATCCACGAGTGCCTGAGGCCTGGGCCAATGTGCCCGCTAATGGACACACCCAGTTTGAGATGGAGCAACTTTCCTAGCAGTGACTTCATGGTGACCCATCGGCTACTTCAATACTGCGGAGACACTAAAAATTACACTGAATGGATCGGACAGCAGCAGTGAACTGGACCAGAAAATGGACCTTGTGGAATATGAAGTAGTTCTGGGTGCCTGGATAATAGGATTTAGATGGTGTGAACAGTTTTACAGAAAACTTTATATACCCGTGGATAAAGCGGCTTTTTGTGGTCATCACATGGAAGATGAAGAGGATTTACTGGGTTCTTCCTAAATAAAGCCACTGCCTCTGTCTCTACAGACTTGGAATCTACAGAGGGAGGTTTCTGGAATGAACCGTTTTCGCTTAAATCTTCCTTCCTCTCAGTGAAATTGCCCATCACCACTTACAATGACCTAGTTGCGAATCTGATGCACACTATGATTTTGGCCACTATTTTGCCATGTAAGAATTTTTTTTTAAAAGATTAATTTTATCGTAGTCCAAAATCAATTTGCATTTTGGCATTCTCTTCATGTAATGATCACAATTTACCTCACATTTGTTCGGAAAAATTCACAAATTCCTTCTTTCACCAAGCTACGACAGACTTCAAACACTCCAGCTTTCTTTTTCTCCTTTACTAGCACAAAGGTTTGTGTGGTACTATTTCAATGTTTGTTTGAACATTCATATTCATTTAAATTGGCGTTAATGACAATTTTGCCTAAGATTTACATTTACATTTAATCATTTAGCAGACGCTTTTATCCAAAGCGACTTACAATGGAGACAAGTTTGAGTCTTAATGAGATTTTTCAGTTGGAATGAAGGACGTTGCTGATAAAAGCTCATTGTGAAGTTACTAGGATACTTTTGTGCAGAATTTCATGTCTTAATTGAACAGCTCCATGATAAGATTCAAATGGACTGGTGCATTAAAGAGTGTAGATCTCAAAAGTAGTATGGATTTTCTATGCAGTAATAGTCTGCACATAAAACACATTATAAGAGGGTTAAACTCTGCTGAAAGTTTGAGAAACCTCTTGCATGTGAATCACAGTGCATTAAACACGTCGAGATGATGTTACTGGAAGCCAGTGTGTGTTTGTTCACAGCCACAACATTTCAGCTGAACTACTCTGAGAAGTTTTCGTTTTTTTTTTTTTTTTTTTTTTTTTTCATGGATGGAGTGAATTATGGAAGGTCTTTAACTCCAACATGTTTAGGGTGGGTCAATAAAAATAGATGTATTAAACAGTACAGATGATTTTATTTTTATTTTTTATAATACACAGTATATTCGAAATATTGTGTAATATAAAAAAAAGTTTCAATGTTTTCAATTTAGTCAAAAAAAAATTACATTTACATTAATATCTATCTATATACACAAATATATACATACATATATAGATACTATGATATATTATATATATATATATATATTTATATAATTAAAGGCAATTATTAAGACTTTTTTCTTTGGAATAATGTGCACTAATGAATCACATATGAGCCGACAAGTGCATTAAGAAAGTAAAAATAGTCAATTATGATTTCATGTTTCATAACGTTTTCAAATAACCATTCTATTGGGCTAACTCAAAGGCCTAAAATTCCTTATGAGTGGCCAGAGTTTTGTCATAACATTACAAGGTTCAGCATATTTCACTAACATGTATCTGACAGAAAATTCACCAATTTCACGCCTAGCAATAACCATAACGCTACATTTCAAACAACTGAGGCATGCAGCAGAGCCTGGTTTTCTTACCGTGCAGTTACTTCCGCTGAATCAAGCTGATTTTCCGCACAGCGCTCTGTTTCTGAGCATTCCAGAGGTGTCACGCTTAAGTGCTACTGGGTGGAAACACAGGTGGAATTTTTGGCCCTGCTCTGGACTTGATGGGAGACATTCTTGGCTGAGGAAAAGCGAAGGGATTTAGCTCTGGCCTGCTTCATGAATTTTAACAGATGTAAAGCAATGAATAAAACATCTTAATGGAGAGTGCTTTTGAGAGAGGGAGGAAGTAAACACATGGAAAAATATATATTTGAATAGAACACTATAGTACTGTATGACACACTATATTCTTCATACAAATTTTTTAAAACACAATGCATCATTGCAACACTAAACAATTCAAGCAGGAGCATCATGAATTTCTTTCACAAGTCCTCATTATTAATTTTTTTTAATAGAAATGTCTTAAAATGAACAGCATTCGTGACTCATACTTACATAACTGGACACATCTCTGAGTAAAACAAAAAAGCAATAACGTGGGAGGGGCTTGATTTTATCCATTAGAAATTGATAAGACAGTGAAAAGTAGGTCTTATGTAGAAATAGCAAGGTCACAAACAAACAGCTGCAGCTTGTATGAAGTCCGACTTCAATATCCCCCTGTGTGCGGCGAGGTCCCCCTCCTTCCGCGTCTCTCAGATACGGTCTCTTCCTACAGCCGACTTCAAACGTCTCAATTACCCTAGGCGTGATGGGAAATATGCTAATGCATAGCACTATCGCTCGCTTGCTGGGAGCTCACCAAAGCCCTGCGGTTAGTTTGTTCTGAGTGAGCTCGAAAAATTGGTGCAATCCCTCGCCTTCCAGACCTCATCCCTCGATTTCCGTGTATAAAGGAAGATCCCATGCATGTGTAACTTAATCATGCTAAGTGCCTATAGAGGTCGAGACCGTTGCCTCTATTAAAGTCGGTCCCTTTAAATGTGCCACCTGAGAAATGTGTGAAATCGGCAAAATGGGAAAGAGGCCTCTGAAGAAAATGACGCTCAGCTGAAAATGGAAGAGAGTAGAGCCTTGCTGATTTGCTGTTACTATTGTTTATACTTACGGTCAGTGTTGGGGAAATTTACTTTTAAATGTAATGCATTACAATATTGCGTTACTCCTTAAAAAATAACGAATTATGTTACTTAGTTACTTTTTATGGAAAGTAATGTGTTATATTACTTTTGCGTTACTTTCGTGTTACTTTTTAAATATGAGCAGGGCTTGATTGTTTATAATATAAGTTCTATTTATAGCAAATGTAAAAGCCCTTTCACACCAAAAAGTGTAATGAATAAACCTCAGGCTGAAGCAAAAGTAAATTCACGTCTGTACAGTAGAACGCGGGAGAAGAAACACTCTACAGCAATAAAAAAAAAAACAATGAAGCACGATTGTTAGTTTATCTAAAGTCAATTTTGCTTATTAGTATGGTTGAACTGGATCATAAAAGGTCAGCAGCAAAGGCATTGGTTAATAAAATGGTATTAGATACATTTGTGTTATTTAACATATTTAATTATTGCAGGTTTGCCTCATATTCTGAGTTTGTATTTCCCTGTTTTAGTCTAGCACATTCACATTTAGTCTAGAACTACAGTAACATCATGTTCACACAGCGCACACAACGCCTCTG